TACCTGGTGTTTAAAAATATTTCTTGATGTAGAACCATCACCATCATTAATGTTTATAACCCACATGATAGTGAAGTGGTACCTAAACCTCCCGACAGTATGATACATAATGCTACTGTCTTACTGTGTGGAGATTTTAATGCCCGTCATCCTCTCCTTGGCTCTGAGGGAAGCACCATAGGTAAAAACGGTAAGGTATATTATGATTATCTTCAAAACACCAGTGATCCCATACACCTATTGTGCCCCTTTGAAAAGACTCATTATCTAGGTGGCAAATTAGATTATATAGTCTTATACAATCAGCACCCACTCCCATGCACTGCGGAAGTTGTCCCTTTCCTAGTCAGTGATCATTGGGCATTAAGTATCACCCTCCCATTCGCTAAAAGAAGCCCGCCCCAGCCACGTCTTCGATACCATCTTGCTACTAAACATCATGATGAGTTTATTAAAAGGATTGGCTGCTGGTATGAACACTATGTTCCTACCAGCCTTGATCACTTTAATGAAACTCTCTGTCAACAAGTTGGTAACCTCATTACCCAACTCCAACCCAGAAACCCTGTCAAATATAGGTCTTCATCCTCCAGAGGCAAACGAGCATATCACCTTAACAAAGATCCGGAAATAAAGCTACTTAGAAAGCTATTAAGGTCTACAGTAAATCAGCTAAAAAAAACCTGGGAAAAAATCCCTACTTAGCTAGGGACCTTGTTTTCTTTAGTAAAAAACTTAATGAGATAATGACACAAAAGCGGGAAGAGAGATTGTATGCCTGGGCAGAATCGATTGACTCCACGAGCTCCATGAGTAATGTGTGGAGGGAAATCAATAAGATTAAAGGCAATGCACACAATGTCACTCCCCACCCTCATCTAGAAAGGGTAGCTTTGTCAATCCTCAGTAAATGCTGCGAAAACTCTTCTCTCGATAATCTTCCATTATCCATTCGTAGATGCTCCCTTAAGTCAAAACACAAAAATGAAATTAACTATCAGTGCCAACTTTTAGATGAGGCTGATGCACCATTTACAAGACACGAACATCTTGCAGCTATTAAAACTAGCAAAACCACTGCACCTGGGGATGATGGAATCACTTACGACATCATTCGCCTCCTTGCAAAGGTACAGGTACAGGGAAGAAATCCTCTTCTTGATCTCTTCAATTTATCTTATTCTACAGGCCTCTTGCCTACTTCCTGGAAACAAGCCACCATTATTCCTATCCCAAAACCAGGGTGTCCTGATGAATTTAGACCGATTTCTCTGACATTCTGTCTCTCTAAAACCTGTGAAAGGATCCTCCTCAATCATCTGCTCCACCAGATCAAAGATCAAATTCACCCATCAGTCTTTGGTTTCCAAAAGGGGAAAGGAACACAAATGTGCCTGGCACAGTACCTCAATGGAAGTAATGCACAGTCTTCCTACTTCATAGATTTCAAGGGTGCATTTGACAGAGCTTCCCCTACTGCAATCCTCCATGAATTAACTCTCCTAGGAGTTAAGGGCAAGCTTATGCTATGGATAAAGGATGATCTGTCTTTGAGAAGAGCAAGAGTATGTTACCAAGGCACCTACAGTAATTATGGTGAACTCGAGTTAGGAACTCCACAAGGAGGTGTTTTGTCCCCTTCACTATTTAACATTCTTATGCACTCTCTTTGCAAGCTTAATAGTGAGTTAGGAGACCTATGCAGCATCACATCCTATGCTGATGACGTTCTCATTCAGGTATTTGATAGGGGGGAGTATGTTCTTCAGGGATTCAGTAAAAAGTACACTTCCCTTGGACTCGTAATCAACCCTGTCAAGACTAAGTATATTTCCAGATCAAACAAACTGCCATACATTCCAAGCTTAGGTGGGCAAGTTATTGCAAAAACTGACACCTATAAGTATCTAGGTGTTATGGTGATTGCTCCCCACCTCATGTCCCGCAATTCCCGCTTCACTCGGGAAATCGTTCAAAACATCAGAGAATGCTGCCTGGAGCGCTTAACACCTTTACAATACATAAGTAACAGATATGTTGGTGCTTCCCTAAGAGTCCTAAGATTGATGTACATTTCCTTTGTTAGGTCCACGATAGACTATGCGAGCCCGGTTCTTAGTATGTTGCCACAAAATGTTCTCAGACCCCTTGAAATCTTACAGAACAAGGCTATGAGAGTC